ATATATATATATATATATATATATATATATAAATAAAAATGTGTGTCTTCTGTACAAAGCAATCTTTAAACTTTAGATAGGCAATGAAGGCCTACTGATTCATGACAACACATTATTGCCATAACAGTACTGAATACAATGAAAACATATAATCTTAGCACTCAGCATCAGTTCAAAAATACAAGAAAACATACATGAAAGTGTCATTTCCTCCAGCCTGGTAAAACTACTGTAGGGCATATATAGAAACTATGCTGATGTACACTACAAAGAACGAGCAGTCTCGTAAACCAGTAACTATTAAAATAATATTAAGAATAATAAACATTTAATTTGTGAAAGCATGACTTGGTTTTGCAAAAGTTTTTTTTTTATAACTTTATACAAAGAAGACATTCTTACATACTGAAGGCAACCATTAGAAATTAAAATAACACTTTGGGCAAATTAAGACTAGTTTAGTTCCTGGAATACAGGAAAAAAGTACAAGCAATTAAAAAAGAATGCCTGATTAAATATCTTAAGAGCTCAAGAAGCATGCAGAAAAACTCCAAAGAGGATCACTCAACCATGTGCTAACTTCCTTTATCAATGCATAGTATCATTTCAGGTTTTCCCAGAAGTCAAATGTGTAATGCCAAGTACCGCTAGTGGGAGCTTTCCCTCTGTGGTGACATACCAGCCTCTAACCAGAAGGTAAATAAAAATGAAACAAACCAATAGAGCATGACATGACTTAAACATATGTTTACTAGTAATAGCATTATCTGGATGGAGTGTCCCTGTTTTGCAAGTTCAAGTTGGTTTGTTGAATACAAAAGTATCCCAAGTCTTGGAGAAAGCAGAAGACTGGAAAGCCCCAAACTGCCAGGACATGCATGCATTTCTTTAATCTAATTTGGTTATTAATTCATTATTGCAGTTGATTTCACACATGTCCAGCATCACTGCTGCTTGCAGTTCTCTTTCTCTTTTGCATTTTCCTTTTTCTCCTTGGGCTTTACTCGTTCCAGTTTGTCACTCTGTCGTTTCGTGGGGGGCACAAAAGTAGGTTCTTCCAAGGGGCTCTTCAAACCTACTTGTTGTGATGTTTGATTTTGACAGAAACCTGTAAATGAATGATTTATAATTATTATTTATTCCATTCATAAATATATTAGAAGTTGTTGTGTAATGTGAATGAATGAAAGCACCATTCATTTGTCCTGATTCAGCAGAATCCTTCCTTTGAAAGGTTGGGTCCAGCTCTTCAGCAATATTCCTGATGGCTTGCGGTTGCCTGTGGTGACACCAAAGGATGTTAAATGATATTACCTGAAAATTAAGCAGTAATTCATAGAGAAAGGAGTGATTTACATTGTCACAGAAATGTGACTAGGGAGTTGATTGTCTGGGGTGAAGTCATCAAATGGGGACTGAAGACCTTCGGCATCCAGTCTGCGCCTCTGTATATTAAACAGCAAAATTCATAAAATTATTTTGGAATTTCTTTGTGCTACTACAAAAAAGGCTCCTAAAGGCTGGTTCACTCTGGTCCAACAAACACAAATAGGGTTTTAGAATTTGTTTGAATTTGCTGAGTCAGTCTGAATCATCCTTGAAAGATCAATATTTCCAAAGAACACATGTGGCAATACTGCTGAATCACATGATCAATTCATGGAAGCACAGCAAAAGTAATGTTTAAAAAGGGGTGCATTTCCCAAAAGCATCGTTAGCTAACTATGGTTGTTAGTTCCATTGAACTCTATTGGTAACGATGGAACTTGCGACAATAGTTGCTTTTGGGAAATGCACTCCAGTTCAACAGCACTAATATCAGAATGAACTGTGCCAAAGAGATGCATGGACAAGGCAATTCTGCAGAGGTGTCATTTGATGCATTCAGATGGTTGGAATTTTTGGTTAGTAAGTAAGGAGTACATGGTTATGCAATAATAAAAGATAGTGTCACTCTAAACGTGACTACCTGTCTGTCACATGCTGTTCTCCTGTCATTCTCCCAGTATTCTCGAACAGGTTCCAGCTCACGAGACCTCCGTTTAGCCGTAATCTCCTGTTTCTGCATGAAACGTGCAATTTCCTGCCACAAAACGACAAATGAATATTCACACCTATTCATGTGATTGGAAAGCAGCCCTCTCATTTAAGCTCTGCTTACCTCATCTTGAGCAACCTGTGCCGCTCTGAAATCTCCAATAGGACAGTCCCTTCTATGAGGAGAGGGACCTTGCTGAGTCTATGAAAGAACAAAACAATTCTGCATATTTTTGCTTTATTTTAGGAATTTTTACTACTGTTATTGATAGGGATATTAAAAAGACTTTGCGGCAGAGCACTAATAGAGCTGGGTGGTATGATGGTACATACCAGGGGTGTCCAATCCTGCTCCTGAAGGGCCACCTTCCAGCAGTGCTTAGCACTAGCCCAAATTAAACACACCTGAAGCAGTTAATCAGGAACACTAAAAACCCACAGGCAGGTGTGTTAGAGCTAAACTTGGCAGGAAAGTGGCCCTCCAGGAGGTGTACACAATATACCAGTGATTTTCTATCACGTTCCTGGAGCTTCCCAACTTGGGGAAGTCGTGGCCTAATGGTTAGAGAGTCGGACTCGTAACCCAAAGGTTGCGGGTTCGAGTCTCGTACCGGCAGGAATTGTGGGTGGGGGAAGTGAATGTACAGCGCTCTCTCCCACCTTCAATACCACGACTACTAAACATTTTGAATGTCTCCTTTGCCTGACACTTTAATTTCTTTGTCCCTACTAATGAGCTGATAACCTGAATCAAGTGTGTTTGATTAAGGAGACAGTGGCATTTACCAAAACTGCGGTAGATATATTTGATCCTGTAGCTCACCTCTTCGGCCGATCTCTCCTCCTCCTCCTGAAGCCTGCGGGCCAGCTCCTCATCCAGTAGCACTTTCTCCAGCTCTCCCAAGTCAAGAGCAGCCATTCCACTCCTAAGAGCAGGTCCTGTCAGGTAATAAGTGCAGAATCACAACCAGATAATGTGGAGAGGGGACACAGGGTTTTCAGACCACCATCACCTTCAGCCAGATGGGCCGCAACCATAGGTGTCCAATCCTGCTCTCCTTGAGGGCAACTGTCCCACAGAGTATAGATCCAAAACACTTACCTGGAAGATTCCAGCAGTCCTGAAGACCTTATTTAGTTGGTTCATGTGTTTAATTAGGGCTGGAGCTAATTTCTGCTGCAAGGTGGCCCTTCGGGAACAGGATTGAACACTTTTGGCCAAGACAGTTGAATGTGGATTTCCATTTGATTAAACTCATTAGGAATCTTACTGGGTGGATTACAGCCATATAAACGTACCTCAAAGGACACACAAAGCAAGGGCCAAATCAAAAAGAAAATGCAAGACTAAATCAAGAAAAAACAAGAATATTTAACGCTGAGGTACTGAAAAGGAGAAAACGACCGATGCTGCTCTAGGAGAAAGAGAAGCAGGTGAGATTTTGAGGTTTTTGAGAAACAAGGACGAGATCTAGTCTCACTGGAGAAGGGATCAAGCTTGAGAAAAAGCAGATGACACCAAAAAAAAAATTGCCTCAACTCCCAAGATGTACACTGCAAGCACACAGAAATGGACAGGAGTTCTTGTTTACTGATTGGAAAGCAATGAGCAGATGTAGGGACAGGCTCAGCCACACTGCAGAGCTTAGAGAGGGGTTACCTGCTCTGGAAGAGCGCCCACTGCAAGACTGGAGTCTTTGCATCCGTCTCTCCTCCCTCGTGCTCTCCCTCTCCAACTCTTCCTCTGTGCTTGATCTCTCTTCCTCGAAGGTCTGCCAGCGCTCACTTTGACTTCGCCTCACCCTACACCCTCTACGCCTGTGGTCTCGGTCTATCCTCCTTTCATCCTCCGTTAATGATCGAGCTCTCTGCTGTGTATTTTTGCCTCTCCCCATCTCCCAATTTCTCCTATCTCTCAAACAATCCTCCACTTCCAACTCCATTAACTGTGGCACTCTAGGCTGCAGTGAGGGAGCATTATTTGAGGGTCTTGGTCTAGCCAAGTTAGAATCATCTACGCTGCATGTTCTGCTTCCCTCACGCTCAGATGTCCGCCTGACATTACCATGGTAACTACGTCGCATTGAAATGTTCCGTTGAAACACCTGAGCTTGAGTGTGGAGACCTTGAGTTTCTCTGAGGTGTGTGTGATCATCTCTTAGTATCCCTGCTGAACACTGAACTCTTTCCCTAGTGTCCCTGTGACCATTTTCATAGGTCATACAACCGTTGCCAAGGTAACTGTTAGTGCACCTCCGTTCATCCAGGAAATGAACATGTCTTTCCCTAAAACTCTCTCCAGGACCACAACTGTCTCCCTGCCACATTCTGCTACGATCCTCCCTCATGCTGCTGTGGCGACT